GACAATGTTCGTGGCGATTGGTGGCTATTTAAAGAAGTGGTGAGAAGAATTATAACTTATTGCAAAATATAAGAAGAAATATGAATATATTCAAGCATATAAATACTTATGCAAATAATTTGAAAATTTCATACTAAATGAGCAAGTAGTTTTATGTAAATAACTTATACTGAAATTTACACAGACGAGCGTGAATCTGTATAGTACATTGAGTACTAAAATCATTTATGTAATATGTATTATTTTGTTATTATTATTATAAATATGGTTTTTAGTGATTATTTTTACCATGATTATTTATTTAAGTAAATTTAATTTTTTATTAGTTAATATTAAATATAATTTTATGTATTTATATCTTAGGATAGAGCTATACATGATTATATAAATTGTATAGAAATATGTATGTATAAACTAATATAAATGAAATAAATAAACCTTTAAAAACAAAACAAACTAAGGAGGCGACCATTAATCTACGTAAGCTTTAAAGGGGGGTTACAAATAATCACGAAATATCACGTGGGCATAGGGAGGGTCTAGTAAGATACCAGATCCTTATCTATGCCACGTGTATTTGTTTTTTATTACATTTAAAAAAAAAATCAGAAAATAAATTACGATTATTTAGGTACTAAAAGTTTAAGGTTGTGTCGAGTGGGGAGGGGGTAATTTTAAATATCACCATGTAGCTCCAAGGGGGGAGAGAAGGTCAAAAAATCCTTGGAAATAGCTCACATGATTAATTGACGACCCCTAAGATTGTAAATAAACAAATTGACTGCGAAGATCTTTGGACCTATAACGTTTTTCTATGCTGAATTGATTTATTTAAAAAATAGTTTTTCATTGTATTATTTATAAAATAGTTTCATTTAAACAGTAATTCAGTGGTGGTTGCAAAAATGTTTTTTGGATCCTTTTTCTATCCATAGGAATCACTGAATAGTTGGTTGTACTATGCTGCTAAAAAAAAATTAATTTGAAAATTTACTTTATTTGACTTTAATGTATGTACATTGATTTTTACATAAAGATACAAATATAATACTATGCTGCTAAAGTGGGTAGATTTAAAGGAAATCTGGCACTGACGACAACCCAGAAACAAGTAACGATAATGACCAATGATAAAATGGGATTATAGAATAAATATTTATTTAGTTTTATACTATTCATTCAAATAATATGTATATAACGGCTATGGCAGAAAAAAGAAAATTTGCGCTGAAAGTATAATTTTGCAATAAACATATGATTCGCATTTTGCCTAAATTACTACTTTTCCGGAGAGATTGCTTCATTCTGATCGTATTTTAACATATTTTGTGACTTTGATTTTGTGACTTTGAACTTATTTATGAGACACATATATTAACTTCAGATATTTGACTTTATATGCTTAGAATGCGTCTGTTCTCTTGTCCCACCTATCATAGAAAAAATACAATAACTTTTGTATGTTTTTATCATTATTTCATAACTTTTAATATTTTTGAATAATTGCAATCAAATATCATTAGCTTTAAAAATGGTTTATTATATTGTCATATTCTGTACTAAAGGTAATCAGAAATTCTTCATTATTTAATTATACAGAATATATTAAAAGCATATTTCAGATACATATTGGGAACCTATAAATCAAAAATATTTTTCAATAAAGAATTAATTATTTTAATGATAATTCACATTCAGATAATCAAATAATTTTAAAAATAATTAAATTGGGCTAAAGATGAAAAATATGTGGAAAACAACTTCTAAAGTTTGCAGAACTTAGAACTTTTATTCTCGACTTGGTATAAAACGATAAGACAAGATTAATTTAAGATATATATCTATTAAGATTAATTCGATTAATATGATCTTGACAACATAATGTTACTAAAAATTTTTGAATTATTCGGTTACAAGCTGCTGATTATTAATGTTGATTGATATGAGATTTTAATTCCAGAGCGTTAAATAAAATACAGTAATATGATCATCAATTTTACATAATCATGACCATTTATATTCTATCAACAGTAATGGCAGAAAAACCTCCGAATCCTAAAAGAACGATAAATAATACGTATACGTATATATGTGTTAACACTATTAATTGTTAATAATAAAGATATATTTAAATGATATGAGAAAACTTACTTGTTTCGAAAATTTTGCGTTAGTTATCTAAGTCTGATGAGTTTGGCGCTTTATTCAAATATAGCATTAACAACTGCAGGTATGTTTTAGTACTTTAGTAGTAAAAAAAGTACAGTACATAAAACTAATAATTAATGGTTCAAATGTTTAATAAACTGATAAAATTTAATGGATTCAATATTCAACTTTTTACACAAAAATTAACAAATAATAATGATTCTTACATACGATAAATGATTTCAATTGTCCGTTATAAGTTTGCGATATATTAACTTTGTATATGAATTTTCAATTAAAATTGATAATTAATATCATAACCACCAGTATTTATAGATATAGTATATGCGTATAAAGCCGCACATATTCAATTCATATCAAACATACCCGAATTTAAGCATATTTTATTTATAATATTTATCACATTATTATGCGATATTAATACGAATACGACCGTCCATATTGGATTTATACAATTTTTTGTTTTTGCACTTTTGCAAACGCTAAGGACTTCACAACAAATTATCGCAGCGTTATTAGGAGAACAGACACGTTTTTGAATTTTATTTGACTAGGACTATGTAAAAGGTGGATACATGAATAGATGGGAACAAATTTATTATTGAGAAAGCGGTTGCATTTAAAAAGTAAATATCAGATCAATTTAATTAAATAATATGGTTTATTTTCATATTTTTTTACATTTTAAGACTTTTTAATAATTTTAGAGTACCTCAGTGCAAATAACTTTGTAACCGTGTTTGTGCATTATGCATAGATAAAAGAAGAGTATATAGCATTATTAATATATAATTATATTAATAGTATGTGGCATTATGTATTGTATATTTATTTATTTATTCACTTATATATACGCCAATCGGCTATGTACCGTAAATTTCTAATATTACGCTGATAATTAATTGAAACCTTGAAAATCTACCAATATTAATTGGAATACTAACATATAATATAAAAGAATATACGTACACTTTTTGCATAATACTTTGGTAACATAAATAATAAATGTATATTTAATTCATTGAATATTTCAATTTTGATAATATTTTTGATAAGCCTACCCATTTCAATTATTAAAAAACTCATGATTCGTGGTGCCGAAAGTAAATTTAACGGTTTCGGAGATTTTCAGGCAGGATCCTTTTGATGCTATAATACGATTTGTTTAAAATAAAATGTACAAGTAATTTATTGAATATTTCAATCTTGATAATATTTATGTATATTCGGCAAAATCACAGCAATTTAGGTATAATTACGTACATTTTTTTTATTTTTTAAAGTTTTTGTAATAAAGATTGCTGAATTAATTGATTTGTGTGAAACAGATTTGCATATATAAAACATTTTGTTGTTTGCATGTATTAATTATATTGCATTAAATAACATTACAAAATAAAAACTACTAGAATAAAATAATAATTAATTAATTAAATGAATTAATTAATGAATAAAATATTAATTACATTTTCAAACTATCAAACATTTGAAACAAAATTACATGAGTATCGATAACAAGTAATTACCTAAAAGTTGTGATTAGTATGCAATAATATATACATTCTTTTTCTCTACGAATAATAAATAGAAACGATCCATTAAAATTACATATTCTACTTCTTTCGCAATACCAACGATCGTTTTTTCGTGAATTGACGACAGTGAGCGGTTTCTTAATGTTTTATTGCTAGCGTTGCTTCATATGTCATCCATCACATTTCAATAAAATCATTATTTCAGTAAAATGTCTGATGATTCTCAAACAAGTCCAAGTTTATTAAATTTACGTCAATATCGTTTTAAAAAGAAGCCGCCCAGGATTTCGGATTTGGATTCATGTAAGCATTATGTGGTCAATTAGTGTATATTAAATTATAGAAACTTTTAGGTTATGCAATGAAGAATATTGAAAATTATTTATTTAAATAGTAATTATATATTTTTAGCCAGTGAAATTCAACAAAATACAATATCAACGAGTTCGGACTTGGACAATAATGATACACCAACGGAAAATGACAATAAAGATGCAACAACCAACCAACCAACTGTTAAACAAGAACCTGATGTTAAAAGTAAAGAAAAACATCTTCGAATTTTGGTGTCCGAATTCCCACATATTGATACAATGGTAAATGATTTATTTGAATATTTTTTACTAAAAACTGTATACATTGTCAGCTTGTCAGTACAAAAAAATGTCATTTTATGTTTGTCGAGTGATTGAGAAGATAGCATACCTGGATGAATTTATTATTTTAATAACAAAAGCCTAATTATTCTTTTTATTATATCTTTAATATTTCGAAGCTAAATTAATCTTTGTATCTATTGGCGTAAAACATTATATATTTCTTTTTGGTTTTAATTAGAAATATTTGAACAGTGGTTTGTCATTTGACATTTTTATTCATAATTCAATGAGTTGATTAAAGTTACATCAAACATGACTACTAAACTTGAGATTTATAAAAAGAATTTGAATTACATTTGCAAACTACTCTTAATTTCTATCTAATTATCAATTCTATTATATATTCATACTTTAAATAGACGTTTAACTCAATATTAACCCTTTTAATATATGTTGAAGTTTATATATTTTAATTTTTCAAACATATATGGCGATTTTGTATTTATTGATTTAAACCTCTAAGTGAGGTCATCTCAATTTGTTAATAAACATACAAATGAATATTAATTATTATTAGAAATATATAAGCACTCATATATGATTACATATTAACTATAAAATGTTTATATACCACACATGAAAATAATTCTACATATATTTCATGATTTATGCATTTTATATTCTTCAAAAAGTGGTATTTTGTTGAAATTATTGCATCCTTTATATTTAAACTAAAGTAACAGTATATTTTCAATAAATTTTAGTTGATAAATAGTTTATTGATTCTCATAATATTTTTAGACATTGCAAGATACACTTTTAAAAGCTAACTGGGATTCTGAAGCGGCAAAACCCATGCTTGCTAATTATGTACCACCACCAAAACATTCCTATAGAAAATCTAATTATTTTCAGAACAGGACCATAGAGGTAATGAATTATTAATTATAATTGTACTTATATATATATTTA